AACACAATTGAAATTAGGGCTGGAGAATTTAGAATGGAGAATACACGTGTGCGAAAAGAAAATTTTTTGGTGTGGAAAAATGCCAGGAAAAATCATCTATTTTAGTCTGATTAAGATGTGTTTCATATAGATGTGTTTGAACTACTGTGCTTTGTTCCTTTAAGGACCGTTAACGGCAAGATAAGGAATATTTGGCGCACCGCATAAATTCTAGCGGATCAAAGTGGATCAACTGACATCTAGTTGAGGAACTGCTCATGCATTAAGTATTTTAAGATTGTCAATCCACCTTGAAGCAAAAATTGCTAATTAAAGACCGAGAGCAAACGGGCCAACGCTTGCAGACACGTGGGTGATCCTTGTGGGAAAAGTTCTGGCGTTCTTTGTGGGAGAAATTATGAAAATTTCACTGAGAAATTATCAAATATTGTAACTGGCTAATGCTGTTTGGAGCTCAGACCAAAATAATACCTAAAACAGTTGTTACTTTAGCGTACATTATGAAAGTACTTTGTTTATTCTGCCAAGCGACATTGGATGAAGTTAAGAACATGGCATGGAAGCAGACCAAGGCACAAATGTATATCCCTAGAGGTTATTCTTAAGCTTTGATTGCAGATTTCATCAAAAAGAAAATGCCTTTGGGCTTCTGTATACAGTCTTTGCTAAGCCTTCTGTTTACTTACGAAATTCCCGCGAGGGCAGGAAATTTAGGAAGCGATGCCATCTGCAGCTTAACAAACGTCAAACATAAATGGATACCATATATGGAGATCGTGTGCCGAGTGACTTTCGTCACAACTGGCCTTTTATGACGTCATTCATTAAGTCATAAAGCTCTTTTTACCATATATGGAAATAGCATGCTTGTGTGACACTGGAATGTGAGCGACATGACCAATCATGGCTTTACTTCTCTAAGTGCAAGCATAATTTTTCGTTTAGAAAGTATTTTGGACTGCCAGGTCTGTTCTGCGGCAATTTTTCAAAAACGCAAATAAATTATTATGCAGAGCTTTTCCCTAAGAGGGTTTTATTTACAAAGATTAACTCTATTTTGGGGTTTTTCAATCTGTTTATCCCTCAACTTGTATTGCTGCCGATACTGTGGTTTTGATAACGGCTATTTAATGCGGTTTCAGCCTTTCTTAGGTACACCGAAATTTAATGAAGCCAAAACTTTCTGATACAAAGGGTCCTTTTACCCTTTGTTTAGCAGTTACAAATGCACAATTCAGTTCAATATTTGACAGTGATACAAAGAGTAGTTGCATGGTTACCAGTCTTCTTACTCAGACTACTTGGTGAGTATGTTTCGAACCATTAATAATAGCCTAACCTCTAATTGATATCTTCCAAAATGGGAAGTGATGTTGAAATTTAAACAAAAAGCTTTGTACTGGGGCGTCGTTGGATGGGGAGGCGGCCAACATGTTCCTTAGCAACATTCTGCGAGAATTCATTGCCTTTTGTAGGATGAATTTTTAATCGTATTCATTTTCTTTTTAAAGAGTTTTTATTAGCAAGTGGTTGGAGAACGGATCCCAGTTGTGTTTTTACATCATACACAATTTTTTTCAGAGAAGCAAACAAAAAATGCATTGCTTGGTTGAATAATGGCCTTTCATAAGCTTTGCCAACTCATTCCCAAAAGAGACACACCCTTTTTCAGTATCCTAAAAACTCTTGGCTCTAGGAATCCAAAACCACTACACCACTGCTGTGAAGACAATAATAAGTCTTTCATTGAAACGAAAGTGCGTTGATATATGCTGTAAAAATCTGTCTACATATGAATTCTGGTCTTTTCCCATAAAAATATATCTAGAATTCTACATAAATATATATTCTACATTTCTTTACATTATATTCAAGCCTTTTTGATGATTCACCTTGGCAGAGTCCATTCGAAACTGTGAGGTAGAGGAAGGTTATTCAATGATGCCGTAGTTTCGAGGAAGTCTAATGGAAAACTTGACAAGAGTATGAAATATGGAAGGAATCTACCATTCTTCTTGAAGCTTCAAGACCAAACCATAAACAGTTTCACTTAAATTTTATTAAAATTTCTAATAAAAATTTACTCTAAAGATACAAGGAAAATTTGGTTTAGGCTAATAAGGCAAAATTTCATTGGGAGGAATGCTGAAGCGCTTTCTGTACCTTGGAGCAATCCCAGCGCAAACAAAATTTATAAAATTGTAGTCTCTTTGAAAATTCTCGATCAGCAGAAAATTGTCTCTTCTACCAAAACCCCATATTAAACATTATTTCTCTTTGAAAGTCCTTTTCATGTTATAAAGATCTTGCTTTGAACGTCAACAAGGACAGAGAATTTGACATTCCTAACGACGACTGGATAATATTTGAAACATTCAACTTTCACAAACATGGTCTTGAAACTTCATTAAATTCCCTGGAATGGGTTTCATTGAAGAAACAGGTAAGATTAGAAACAAAAATTCGGGGATAAGGATTTTATACACTTTGGAACAAATTGCATTAAAAGGCTTCTCTTCAGTTTAGGCCGGGTTTTACTACCAAGATTTCAATAATTTTAAATGAGGTTATATTCCAATAAAAAATTTTTGAATGAATATTAAATGAAAACAATGACTGAAGGTGAAGTGGAATAAAAGATACAATTGACCAATGCCCCCTTTTTTACGTTACAAATATTTTCGTAGCGGATAAATTACCAATTGGTTAATGCTTATGACATTGAGATGAATAAAAACATAATTTGCAACAAGCACCGTGGGAGTGGGTTGAAACTTGAACTTTCAATTTCCAAAGCAATGTTTTTAGCAAATTTTCTTCACAAATCGAAGACGATGCACAAAAATTTGGTTTAAACTTAAATTTTCATATAAAATTCTTTTTGTTCCATCTTAGAACAATAGCCTGCTTTTTCGTTACAAATAAATTCATTCTACAATCCAAAAATTTTGCCTTATCGTTGTGATCAAGAATGTCTAGGGAACCCTTTTACTGACCATGAGAACAGCTTCTGGTTGCTTCCCAGGTAGAACCCAGTTCCCTCTTGACACCGCAATCCAACTCCAATGACAACATGGCCAGATATCTCATGCTACAGTCTTCCGATAATTATCTGTTGTTTAAGTCCTTTACTTCATTCACATGCCTTTGATAACTGGCCATCAATTTTATTTTCATTATCTGTGAAACAAATTTATTTGATTTATAAATATAAGAAATTTTACTTTCCCTTTTCAAGCTCTTAACTTGCAAATACTGAATCAGTCATTTAAGCTCTAAAAAGTTAAACTCCCATTCAAACTCACTTTCTATTCCCTCACCCAAGTGATTCTCCTAATACTTGTAGTCCTATGATATAAGGAAAAATCAGATTGAAATGTATTAATACCTTTGATAAATGGTTGTTAGCAAACTTTTGTCAACATTTTTCAAAATCGTTAAACCCATAGATCCATGCTTATTGTACGTCATGTCATAGTTTTGCTACCTTACGTTAATTGTGATTTTTTACTTTCAAAAGAATGAATAGGCCTTTCTCTTTTGGATTTTGTAATTTCTTAACAGCGTTAAAAAGGTTGAGCGCTAAAAGCCGGAAAGCCCACGCTAAGCATAAAGATGTACCAACAAGCTCGAAAATGTAAAATTGGCTTTGTGGAAATTTTGTGAATGCTAGACTGAATAATCTTTGGAAACCGAACAGTGAACTGGTTGAAAAGGTCATTTTTCAAAGAAAGTTGGATATCATTTAAAATGAAAATGGTTGATACGTTGTTCAGGATTCTTTGAAGATGTAACCAAAACAAGTTCTTAATTCAATTAAGTTAATGGAGGCGTAGATACTTTTAATTTTCTAGGAAAGATTCTTTTTGTCAATGCAAGAAAAGTTTGAATTAAGTTCGATGAAATTACATAAGAAAGAAATTAGCCATGTGTGAGTGAGAAAAATTGTAAGAGACATTTCATTTTATCAACAAGGAACTTGATTCTGGGCCAGTCCTTAAACACTTTTTCGCTTCAGTCATTGAAATTGCTCTGACCCCAGAAAAATAGTTAAGCCTCCCAACTGCAAAAAGGTAGGATCCTCCGCATATTCATTGAACAGTTGAAACCTACAGAAAATCGTTCCTGGATTTGAGACCTGGGACCATCTGCTACAAAAATATTTTCATTTTTCAATACCTAAACTTTGAAATCAGTAAAACAAAATTCTTAACTTTTCAAGAATCGGTACTTTTGATTTTTCTAAATTCTGTAATTATTTTCAGCTCAATAAAATTATGGTATCAAAACATTGGGGTAATAAAACAGACTTGAATGAGCTAAAAATCAATTGACAGTCGATCCTTTCAGATTTGATAATCTAATCAAAAACAAATTCTCGCAGTTAGTATCATATTTCTTGTACCCTCAATGTTTATCTTTTCTCTTCAGTTTAGTATCTTGCTCTAAAATCATGAATTAATAAAGTCATTTGTAGAAAACCCCCACGTGCTTTCTTATTAGAATATTGTTAATAAGAATATTCAGTATCAGAATCTTACTGTTCTTAAGAATATTTTATGAAAATCGTTAGGTAACCTTCAAATTGAATATTTGAGAGTCTCGTTTTTCAGCGGTTGTCTCTTTTGCGATGTTCATAACAGAGTATCGCATGACTGACAATTTTCGTCTTAACCGAATCAGATTTGAAAATGTAAGAATACTTTAAGAATATGAGTCAAATCGAACATTTTTTTAGAATAGTGAGGCTCGACAAAATGTCTTTATAAAAAAATGAGTGTAATTCTGAACTGTAGTCTTTGCTAGGAGCTTAAATACCACGTTGAAAACAAATCTGTTATGCTGTCCCTGTGAGCAAACGCTTGGCATTTTTGCCATGATTACATCAACCTCGACTCATTGTCTTGAAACGACCATTACTTTCCTAGACAGTCGATCGGCTGTCCAAGCCCCTTTGGAATGTTATTGTTATCGCGTGGTGGCTATAAAAACCCGCGCGGTGCCAGCCGAGTCAGTTGGAAGATCATCTCTGGTCAATTGACATCAAAATCACGCTCCAAGTTCTCGAAGCTTTTGCAGCTCACTTCACAAGAATCAAACTTAATTTCACTGAGAATCACTCGCAAGGCAAGATGGCAAATCAATGCAAAGTCGTTATCTTCATCTCATTGTCGCTGTTTGCGATCGCAACTGGACTGAGTTTTGAAGACTCTAAACAAGGGCGAGAAAACTATTACAACTTCATCGGTGAGTGCCACAAATTTATTGCTTGTTATCTTTGTTTGAACTCGCTCAAAGTTATTTAGCAGAAATAACCGCAAAGATCTATGAAAATTCCCTTGAAAAGCTAACAATCTATTTTTACAACATCGATTTTTAATATCAACCGTGCTCTAACACTTGATCCATGTCAAATTCTGATTTTTAAAATCCGTTAAACTTTTCTTTAACAGCTTAAGTTGTATTAGCAAGCCGTTATGAGCCTGGCTTCAGAATTCTTGTCTTCAAACAAAAAGGGATGTTAATAAAACCTGGTTAACTAGATCTGCTTTCAATTTCCGCGCTCTTAGTTTTAGAAGTAGCTCTAATGTGGGCGTATGGCTCATTAAACACGACATGCTCCTCGAAATGTTTGCGTTTAATATCAAAATTTCTCTTGTTTGTTTTGGTTTTAGCGAAAATTCGTTAAATCAACCTTCAGTTTGTGAAATAAATCTTAGCGTTGCATTTTCCGAAAACTTTCCAGCTCTACACCAGAAAACTAATGTTTATTTCGTGGTCTTCAAAGATACTCATTCCATTCAAAGTGTTCATTTGTTGGATAATTATTTTAAATATTCTCCTTCATATAATAAACATATTTTAACGTCTTCTTGCATTTCAAATTGCGAAACTTTCGTTGGTTGAATGAAACACAATCTTCTAGCCCGGCGGCTCCATTCTCTATGGTTTCAAGGACATTTGTTTGGCACATGTCTACGTGAAACGCCGTTTATAGCTTAAATCGGTCTCAAATTAAACAGCCAATGCTATAAAATGTTATTATTACTCAATTAAGAAATATTTGTGAGTTTATTTCTTTTTATGTGCATCGAAAATCTGCGTTCGAAGCGCCAGTTATTTTGGCACCTTGCCAAGCTATCTCGGAACTGTACATTTGTGCGTTTTCGATTTGGACCGTCAAATTGAGCGAGCGCAACAAACAAAATGTAATAAAAAGCAAACTTGAGGCTTGAGAATTCTTCTGTTTCTCAAAATAACTTATTTTGTTACTGGAAAATCGCTCTCTCGCCACCTTTTGTTCATCTGACCATAACCCTGGAAGATTTACTCAAGATTATTTGAAACCAATGAGCCTAAAGCAGAAGCAAGTTGAGGTTTTTACGAGGGCCTTTTGGTTGCAGACATCTCTTGTTATGAAACTTTAGTTTAGATAAAATCCTTTCGACTTAGTCGATAACGTGGCATCTTGGAAAGAGATTTCATTTCACTTCGAGTTTCCCATGCGAAATAGACACGTGAGAAGGTCCATGTGTCTCGAAGACACTGCACTAACTTTTATTACTTATTTCACATAATTGAAAGCATACTTTCTTTGCATCGTCATCCAAGTTGAAACTGCCTAAATACAATTTCAATGGCGGCGAAATTTTTTGCGGCAAAGCTGGTTGTGCTGCTAATTAAATGTCGTTTTCTGTTTCACAGAGGACTTCGATATATGGTTTCCGTGAAACCAATGAATTTTTTTAATAGACCAAAAGAAACTCGCTGCGGTTTGTAAGCCTTGTGCGTCACTGGATTCGAAGCAAACCCTCTCACCTCCATAACAAAGAGGTTCTTCTGGTTCCCCGACCATACCGCATTTTTTAATATGACGCGGGCTCATTTCTTTGACGACCCTTGCTAAACCTGTTAAATGTCTCAATAGTTCCAGTTTGAGAAAACTGGATACCGTGGTCTTTTTGACGCAAAGGTATTTTGAAAAGCTTATCACTAGATAAGGTTTCCAAAGAGAGTTGCTAAGAAATTCATCCCAGGAAGATTGTAACAGCTAGGCCCAAAATATAGCGTCCGGGTCAAATTAACGATAATACCGGGACAACATTATCTCATTACTGCCGAAGAAGAGAAACGGCGCCGTATTGCCAGCAAGCTAATCTGATTTTGATGCGTAAAATTGGCAGCCCATATAAGGATGGCAAATCTCCTTATACGGCGAAGAAACCATTTGCTTTTCAATAACCTTTGACAGTCCGGAACATGGCAAAACAATAAAGAAGTAAACATGAAAGCAGGTTATCTGGGCTAGGCACGCATTTTTAAGTACGAATTAAATGTTTTTCTTTCGTTCACAAAAACGGCATTAAAAGGGCAATATCCAGCTGGCATGCATCTCAGATGCCTGTTCGCACAGACGCTTTTTAATTGTTGATTTCATTGCATTGATCAGGCACAAAGATTTACATCCAAAGAGGAATAAACCCGCAAGAACAACAAAACTCTAGTTGTTTCATGCCTTGGATTTTTAGCTGCCCTCGTTTCACAGGCGAGGAGGTATTTACATGAAGTACCCTCAGCCCATCGATGTACCGTAAATCCGATTACTGTAAACAACAGTGAAAAAACATGATTCCAAACGCCTAAATGAAAACAGGCTAACGATTTCGAGTGGGTCGGTGATTTCAATAGCAGAATTTCCAAGTTGTTTGTATCATTCCCCAGAGATAAGGCGAGCCTTTGATTGGATAAAGGTCATCTGAATCTTAAGTGGCCGCAAGCCTCGATATCTGAATATATAAATCTCAATCTAAGGATGACGCAAAGATTCTTCCATCCCTAATTCGCTTTGTAATCCCTAATACATTTGAATAACGCTGACCTGCTATCACCATTCACCTTTTAACTTGTTTACTAGTCTAGCTAGTGATTTCGTGGTGCAGCAACTTGTCAAAAGCAAATGCGCTCTCGGATCAAGTCGACACTTTCCAATCTGAAAACTGCACTAATTCCGAAATGATAGATATTTGCCTTTGTATAAAATCCCCTTTGAATTTCTAGCTGTCAGATGTTGGGCTGTAATCCCTGAGAAAAGCGATATTTCTATGGAGATAGGCCGTTAAATCTGACACATTAAAGAACACGATCATCCACCATCGATAAAATTATTGTTGTCACCGTTTATGGAAATTATTTCAAGATAGGTCCTCAAGTTGTCTTCTACATTGTTATCATCATCATCAATATCATAATCATCATCACAATCATCATAATCATCATCATCATCATCATAATCATAATCATCATTATGATTCTTATCAGTTTCAACTACCAACCACAACAGCAACAAAAGCAAGAGTACCCCAATCAACATAATGCATAATCATCGCTGATATTATTGATCGTCGATCTTTCTGATCTTCACACATAATCATCAATCATAATCATCAATCATAATCATCCATCATAATCATCGATCATAATCATCAATCATAATCATAATCATCTTTTAGTACCTTCTCCCTCGTATCCGTCAAACACGGCCTGTAATTTCATATTCAGCTCGAAATATTGTCGGCAGATAAGATCAGATTCTAAACCTAATATTTTCAGGTCCAGGCTGGCAAAAAGTTCGGCATGTACAGGTTTTGCCCGCTTCTGTCACTTGAAATGGTACTTCGCCACCTTTTTAGCGCCATTGCGCGTCCGACTGCGCGTGGCAAACCGCATAATCGCACGCAGATTTTATTGCCCATTTCTGACTGAGTTTGTGAATTGCCGAATGGATGTGATGATGTTCTTTATGAGCTGTGGGTTTCTTTGCTTTGATGGAATATGGCCTTGACAATGAGATGTGAAACCGTCTTTTTTCTAAATTGAATCTTTGCTAATAATTGAATTTTGAAAGTTTTGTAAATTCTGACGCTTCAATTTTCGCTGCCTTTTTAATCCTTTATAAATCAAAATGGCAGAAAATTCATTTAAAGTTTTTATAGCTTTTTTGAAAAAATAAATGTCTTTTATTCATTTCAATGCATAAGCTCTTGACATAATTTGAAATTGTTTGTCCTAAAAACGTCGATTTCGCGTGATTGATACATTTAAAAAAGTTTCTTCGACATTTGCTTTTCCATTGATTTGTGGTACAGGGCTTTCCGCAAGAATCTTTCGCAATGCAAGATCTTGTTTATGATCTTCTCGCCCTTTGTGGTATTCGACGGCTTATTCAGTTGCCCTACGGTTAAATAAAGCAATCATAGTGACGTCAGAGTAGAATTTCGATAAAGGCGCGGACTAGCAAAGTGCGTGTGCTTATCTTTGTTCATTGTTGGTGCAGCGCCAAAATCTTAGTAGTTAATTCTGCTTCTAAACCAAAGGAAAAAATCGATTTTGTTTAAGACAGTATCATATTAAGATAAAATAATATCTTCTTATCTTGATCATATTAATTTGACAAATTGGGGCATCATCGCATCATATCATGTTACTTAATCCATGACTCCCTACCAGCTTTACAAACAACGTCACAAAATGTTGCGGCTATGGACGCTAGAAAAGAAATACGTCTTTGACAGTTAATTTTATTTAACTGATCGATCTTACCATCGCTGTACTCTCCAGTAAGCATGCTTCTAAGAATGCCAGGCCTAGACGAAAGTTTTTAGTTTCATTTTGAACACTGCAGTTGTATCGCTACTCAAAATTTCCTCCCTTTTCCCCAGAGTCAAAGAACAATTTTGTGAATACAGTTTTTGTGTTGAAAGATTGAGCAATACCGTTAAGGACTTTCTTGGAATGCAATCCCTGCTTCCTTCCGCGCGAAGTTTTCTTGCGGTTGTTCAGTGCGTAACCGCGTGGAAAACAATAAATCGGGAGCGGACCATGTTGCCAGGATCAAGTTCGTTGATAATTCTAACTATTTGCGGCTGGGATCATCAATAAATGTTCCCACGATGCTGCAAAGCGTAGCAAAGGTAGAGTTTCAATATCTGCCTAATAATAACGCTCAGGCAAATACAGTAATCCGCGCGAACTTACGAAGGATCATTCATCGCGTTTATTTTTACCTTTCTCATAATCCCGCGCATTTGATATTTGTATCCATGTAAATTGAGATGATACCTCGATCAATCATAGGTCATCGGATTTCCTTCTGAATCATTTCACACCTCCAGTTGGTTTGCGTCTACGTTTTCACCCATTCTATGCATCTTAAACAGCGCTCATGGAAATAATTGCACATCACGTGCTCTTGGAAATCAATTCTCAATGTTTTTTGTTATCACATTGGCTTGATCACATGCTTTTGAACCTGAATTCAAAATGTTTATCTTATGGCATTGGATTGATCACGTGTTTATGCAGTTCAATTCAAAATTTTTCTCTCTTTGTTTCAGTTGAATCACGTGCCAACGGAAAACGATACGATGGAACAGAGTTACGAGGTAACTAACATCAAAATCTATCTACAGATCTATTTTAAGTTCCATTTTCCACATTGCAACCCAATTAGCTTTTATCATTTAATGACCGTTTATTTTCGTTTGTCTTTCAGAGAAATGCAAGGACCGTTTGGCAGTCCAGACGTGCAACGCCTACAAACCCCTGTGCTCCTACTACAGAATCATCCGCGAGATGTGCGCAGAATCCTGCGGCCAGTGTAAACGTAAGCAATATTTCAAACAGATTTTGACTGCCTTCTGGCTCGCAAAGCTCTTAGCGTTGCGTTGAATTGATTTCTGAAATCACCAATTCACGTGCAATTGGATCAATTATCAAACTCTTAAGAAATGTTTGATCTCTAGGGCAGGGCGTAAACGCGTAGTTAGAGGAGTGTTTGATTGTATTTAAGAAGGTCAAACCGAGTCAGCACAATTCAAGCTCGTTTACTTTTGAATTAAAAACTAGCAGTTATTAATACCCAGAGCCAGCCTCAAGGTGGACCCTCTTATCTTTTGTAATGAATACCGTAGCCATGAAACAGAGAAGCAAACAATCCAAACCAGGTCATTTCATTCAGCATAGGTCGTTTTGCACATTCGTTTTTCAAAGCGTCCACAACATGTCCCAAGATCAATAAGCTTCTGTACAGTTTAGGTTCGGAATTCTGCAAAAAAACCTTTAAATTATAAAAGATGCGTTATCGACAAGTATGACATAATAACTGCTTGTAAGATTTATTTTGTGAAACTGCTGTTCTGCAACCGTTTTTGCCTTGGACCTATAATATGTATATCAAAAATAATCCGACTTAATAATTGTTTCCTACTTAACTAAAGGTACATTCCAACACATTCATTGCTCTGCAACCAAATTTGGATGTTGCTGGGACAATTTCACAAAGGCCGCTGGACCAAACAAAGAGGAGTGTCCAGGTGAGGGAATTTTCTAAAAATGCAAAATTTATATCTTTATATACAATTTTGCTAACAGTTTGTTGCTTTAATCCTATGATTTATTCTCTTTCAATTAATCGCAAAGTGTTTCAAGGTCATATTATAAAAGCAATTTTCTGTTTCAGCCTGTATCGATATGCATGGAGACTGCAAGTACTTGAAAGACCGCTGTGCAGAGAGAGCAGAAGTTCGCAGGGTGTGCCCAGTGACTTGTGGAGTTCCCTGCCGTAAGTTCTAATTCTTTTTTCACGTAAACCTTCGAATTCTGGGGACCCAATAGAATGTCTGGGTATATTAATAAAATTTCAATCTAAGCCTAGGGGACGTTGATACAGGCATATTCTAACCTTCCAACTTTCGCTCTTTCTCTATTTAATCAACCCCTGTGGGGCTAAATTTACTACCGATTGGGGTGATAACTGTTTTGTTATCTTTTTTGTACATTCAACAGTGCTTGGAATCAGGAAGGAACTTTTGAAACACTGTGGCAGGGGATTCCATAGTTCTTTTTTATCAATAATTATAAACCTACCAACTCGATTTTTAGTTTTCTTAGCTTATACTGTCTTTTCGCTTCATTAGAAAACTGCGCAGATGACCCGCACCAATCAGAAGTTTGCCCTTATTACAAAATGGCCGGATTTTGCCAAGTTGACCCAGTACTGATGAGGAAACACTGCAAAAAAACGTGTGGATTCTGCAGTAAGTGATTCTGCAAAAACTTTAATGTCATTGCGAAGGAATGCCAGGCCAGTCTACTGACGTAACATTTATAAACACTGAATAGGTAGCAACATCGTTGAGCAGGAAGTGCATCGAGTTTTGTTTACAACTTGCAAAGGGAGAGAGGCCACCATGCCTAGTCTGTTGACTAATTGCCAATTAATCATGACAGAATTCCAATATTGCCTCAATATTGTCCCACCTGTCTGCATTTAAAATTTATTGCACGATGGTATATTTTTTGTGTTTTATTCTCATGACTTCAAATGGCAAGGAAAAACAACAACATTAGGCTATTAAAGACAAAATATCCTTAATTTTAGGTTTTGATTGCATTTTCTGCATTTCACAACATGCATTTGTAAGAAAAGTATGCGTAATTAATAAAATTGAAATGATTTTTGAATCCTTCAATTTTCAGGATAATCTGAATGTGTATCAAAGAGTTACTGTACCAGTCGCCCTCGTCTAGATGTTTAGATGTAAACTACTATGTGGGCAGCAGCTCCCGGTTCGGCCTCGCATCCGGCCCAAAGGAGGTTAGCCCGCCAAATGAATATGGCACAAATGGACAATCGAAGAGCAACTTTCGCTCGCGAATAATCAAGCCTAAATGTCATTGGTTTAAAGCTGATCGAGTCTGTGTGGATATTTAACTTGATAACAGTATTTGAACACGCAAACTAAACTAGAAAATATATCTCGATCGATGAATGTGTATTTAGAGTACGTTTCAGTGTGTGAATAGTGTGGTGGTAATCTTTATTATGTACAAAAGCAATGTCCACGTTTGCCCTAGTTCTTGTGTATTGCATTAACAACGAAAATCACCTAAATGAACCAAGAAATCATTTTTGTGACAATTCTAATGGTAGTGTGAAGGCCAAAAGTTTTGTGGCATTTGCTTCTCAAAATCTCAATAGAAAGCCCATTTCTCTAAATATATTTGCAACCTCGCCCCAAATGCCTCAGAACTAAGAGTATAACGATTTCCTCTTTAAAGAAGCTTGAGGAGTGAGTTTTCCAGTCGAAACAACTCGCAGTGATTTTCTTGTTTTCGTTTTTGTATTTACACAAGCGGCCATGTCATAGGTAGTTGTTAAACATAGATATGCGTTAGTGTGTATAATTATGTGTAATTTTATAATAAATTTGTAGGTTAACTTTTTGTCGGTATAAACTCTTCATATTATCAAGTAATGAAAAAGAACGAGTAATTAGAAACGGTAGAATGTAACTTTTCTAGATTTTGAACTGGTTCACAGTTTAATAATGGTTGACAATATTTGTTAATGTGTACCCTGATTATAACAGGAAACTCCAACTACTTGCAAGTGGAGGTTTATTTTAGATTTTGTAGTTTCGGTAGATTTATATAGCTTTGTAGTCGTGTTTTCTAATAGTCTGTTGAAGTTTATGTACAACCCTCATTTGCAAACATGGTCTGGCTCAAGCGACATACTGTGTGGCGTTCTTCAACCCCTAGTCTTATATAAATTGTATCAAATCCAATCCTGGTAAAAAATGGTTGCCATGTCTCCAGAACAAGTTTGCCAATATAAGTTCCCAGGACTCTTAGAGTAGAAAATCGAGCCAGTCAGAAACTTTATCTGTTATAGTTCGCTTGGTATGTAGCTATTTAATCATTTTAAATATTAACATAATGTACTGACTTTTTTCGCTTTAAGACAAGTTTCTCATAGTTAAAAATCGCATTTTCAGTCTTTGTAAATAAGCTCGTGTATGTTTAAGTTGTTATTGTTGGTCAAATATTCTTGGGTATGTTAGCTAGCGTTTTCAGTAGAACAGTTACCAACAAGAAATAAAACTCTATTTATTCGTCTATCAAGCTTCTTTCTCACACTAAAGCCAGCCGTAGCGTACGTATATTTTGCCGACTGAAAACTGTGAAATTGTTTGAGCTACTTTAAAATGCAATTGTAGGGTTCACGTGCCTGGTTTTAGGAAATCTTGTAGACGTGCTGCCAAAAGCTCCAGCAAATCTGTGAAATATTCTCAAAACTTTGCTCACAATGTTTTTCATGTCTTAGTGTTGACTCAAGTGAAGGCCTCTCTATTAAAGGCAAGTGGCGTGCCCACGGTGTCAAATGGAGGCGGAGAGATTGTCGTAGGCAGAAAACCTTGGTTGTCAATATTTGATATTTAAATACCATTCCTAATATAAAAAAATACAGTAAGCGATTATTTTAAATTAAATGTTCAAATTATATTTGGGATCCTATTCGGACACCTCAAGAAAACTGACTCATGTTTCTTTGGGATTATCTACAGACAATCGAAGCCCTGTGCACGCTTATTGGATCCCTTTCTTCCTCGAAACATTCTATGCATATGTGACCGATGAACAGAAATGATCGAAAATGTAAGGTTATAATATTAACGGACATCAGTTAAACCTTCTAAAGTACAATACGGTCCTTCGGTTCCTGGGTATGCTTGCCAAAAGTTATTGGATCGTCTAAGCAGTCTCGGTCAATTCTTTATCTATTTCCAAATTCACACCTATAGGAGTGCTGATCCCCCCCCCCCAAACACATACATCAGTCGTCCTTATTTCTGAAAAACAGGTTACGTTAAGTTGGCCTAGTGCATTTCTATGGAGAGTAGAGAAAACTCAGGGACCAAGTTAAGAAAAAATAAAAATATTGACAAAACTCTAATGATCAGATAGAAAAGCCCAGAACATGTATTTATCTTACGTCCAATGGGCAATAATCTAATCTCTCGTGCTTTGTCTATGATAAAGTTTTACGATTTTCCGGATCATCGTGTGAATGTAAGAAATGAAATTCATGACAACGGACGATATAGGGAATATTAAAAATATTCATATCAACCCTAATAATTGGCTGCTTGAAATTGAAGTTTCACGGGCAAACGAGCACACGAGCAAAGATAGCTACTCTCATAGTAATGGTTTTATATTTATCTCCTGATGGAGGGACTTGCTAGCAAAAGGAGGGGGCCTAAACCACCGTAACGAACGCTCCCCTGGCATCACCCCAATTATAACAGATATCATGTTCTTGCTATAAAGAACCCAACGGAAAACATTCAATTTTTTTGCAAGTCTCATTTCTTTCATCGATAATGTTACATGCCCCCAACACATCGCTGTTTACTATAAACATAATCAAACAATTTGTATCTTAATATTGAACGAAAAAACAGGCGACATAAGTCAGGAGACATCTTTAAAGAAACCTGCTCCTGCTGTTGCCTTGAAACGTTTGACAGCGTTTTAACGTTTTAATCTGGTCCTTTGAAATCAGTAGAGAAAGAGGAAGAAAAAAGTATAAAGGTTTTTAAGAACTACCGATTAAATGAAGTTAGGTTGGCTTTTCGTCCTAATGTCGTAATTAGTCGTTTATTTCATATATGACACATACACTGGGCGTCGGTCCAACGTTTGAAACAACAGTAGTGTTTTGTTGCTAAGAGATATAACCCCTAATCCATTTGCGTTTACAATTGGCCTAACCCTTCCTATTTCTGAACGAACGTGACTTTGAAGAAGTGTACACCGGGAATAACCAAGCCAGAGAAAGATGCGATCAAACATGATTTGAAACAGTTCGCCATATTAGTGATAAAGGGCAGGATGCATACAATCACCAGGGGGAACGGGAATCACCAAAATGAAAGCCAATCACCAGAGTGTATCAGCTACTCTTTCATTGGGTTTGCATGGCCTGGAAGACCGATCCCTTAGGTACCAGAACCGCAAAAATTGACAGCAGCAAAAAATTAATAACACGTTGATCTTAGGAATCACAAGGGGGAACGGGAATCACCAAAATGAAGGGTACCAGAACCGCAAAAATTGACATCAGCAAAAAATTAATAACACGATGACCTTAGGAATCACCAGGGGGAACGGGAATCACCAAAATAAAGGGTACCAGAACCGCAAAAATTGACATCAGCAAAAAATAATAACACGATGACCTTAGGAATCACCAGGGGGAACGGGAATCACCAAAATAAAGGTTACCAGAACCGCAAAAATTGACATCAGCAAAAAATAATAACACGATGACCTTAGGAATCACCAGGGGAACGGGAATCACCAAAATGAAGGGTACCAGAACCGCAAAAATTGACATCAGCAAAAAATTAATAACACGATGACCTTAGGAATCACCAGGGGAACGGGAATCACCAAAATGAAAGCCAATTATCTGCGTGTGTCAGCTACTCTTGCATTGGGTTTGCATGGCCTGGAAGACCGATACCTTAAATACCAGAACCGCAAAAATTGACAGCAGCAAAAAAATTAGTAACACGTTGATCTTAGGAATCACCAGGGGGAACGGGAATCACCAAAATGAAGGGTACCAGAACCGCAAAAATTGACAGCAGCAAAAAATTAATAACACGATGACCTTAGGAATCACCAGGGGGAACGGGAATCACCAAAATGAAAGCCAATTATCTGCGTGTGTCAGCTACTCTTGCATTGGGTTTGCATGGCCTGGAAGACCGATACCTTGGGTACCAGAACCGCAAAAATTGACAGCAGCAAAAAAATTAGTAACACGTTGATCTTAGGAATTACCAGGGGGAACGGGAATCACCAAAATGAAAGCCAATCATCTGCGTGTGTCAGCTTCTCTTGCATTGGGTTTGCATGGCCTGGAAGACCGATACCTTGGGTACCAGAACCGCAAAAATTGACAGCAGCAAAAAAAATTCGAAGACCAGTAGCGGCATCATGGGGTTGACTTGGGAAACATGCCCCTCCCTCAAATTCTCTACAGGATAACTCTTGTATTTTTTCTAAATCCGACGAGGAGATCTTTGGAAAGGGGTAATATTTTGTAAAGTAGGCTTTTTCTATACTTATTTGTAAAGTAGGCTAGGCATTATCTATTTTTAGAAAAGGGGAACATTGTTTCGAGAAAATAAGTACAAGTTTGTAATTTCGAGAAAGTTTGTAAGAATAAGTATGTAAAAGTACAAATAAGTACAAGTTTGTAAGTTCGAGAAAATAAGTATAAAAGATAAGACTTTTCGTGGTACAAGTTTGGATGGTAAATCTTTGCTCTCACCCTTTTGGTTGAAACGGAGACATTTAATATCCACAGACATTGATTAAGAAATATTTTCACATACAACCATAATGTCAAGTAACGACATACGATATTGCCTAATAACATTCTACTGTATTCACTAATGATTCATTCAACGTCAGTTATTTTCTTTTTACTTCCTTACTCTCAAACAGTTGAGCTTGGGAAAGTTGAACATGTCGGACCATGTTTGTCTCTTGAAATAACCTACGCCATGTTCTGTCAATCATAACGAGACTAAAGCAATATTGTGTTTCATACCTGCTCAAAGGAAGGGGTCTGTATATACATATATATCTATCGTTAATAGAATTCAAGATTGACCTGTGCGAATGGAAGGAATACACCAGCCTCTGTATAGAGCTTTTGGATTTTCAATAAAGAGGTACTTCTTTTCAATGCGAGCAACTCCCCTGCGGCATCTAAGTAGACTGGAGGGTACCCAAAAAGGTCCCCTTATTCCGGCTAAGCTTTTAGCCCAAATCCCGATTACCGACCATCAATTCCCGAATCCCAGTGTTATCGATTCCCGAATCCCGCTTAATAAATTTGCCTATTCCCGATTGCCGACTCCGAAAAATGATGGTTCCCGCTTTCCCAAAAACTTATTGGGTACCCTTCAAATTAAAGTCTGTGTGCAGTCCGAGGCACGTGTACGCAAGGTGAAGGAAGGTAAAACTCTTCGGTGTATGGAATAACATTTCGTCTTTAGCCTGAAAACCCATTCAAACTTCACGGGCTTATCAAGACCATTGTGTCAGTATTACGATTCACTTGCAACGAAAAGCAGCGTATACCTTGAAAGAAAATAAGTTAAGTGATATAGATAAAAATGTTTTTTTAAGACTTTCCTCATTTTCGAAAAACCATCGTGGTTAAATTTGAGTGAAATTTGCCACTTTCTTCATTGGTCTTAATAGTGCAAAGAAAAAGGAATTTTTCTTCAAACCACATGTTGAAAACAAGACTAACAATTAAATTCATAGCATTATTGCGATTACATTGGTTCTACAAACGATTACGGATGGTTTACTGAAAAGTTATTCTGAATATCGCATACCAGATTCAGACTTGCATTGCTTTTAAGCGCATTGCGTTAGGGTTTAGGAAGCAGGCAACAAAAGACTCGAGACAAATTGATACATAATGCCATATTCCCGTGGGAGCCTTGAATTACTCTAAGCAGCCTAATATGAAATCGAAGTTTCAAAGGGATTATAAAGCCTAAAGATATGGCTTTCTATAGAAAGAGGCTCTTAAAGTAACAATTAATATGATTACCTCAAGCTATGGCACGCATGTCGCACAAACACACACCTCGATGATGCATCACGCTCGTGGCTACAGAAGCCGGAGCAAAAACACATGTTGCCTTTTCAATGTGTACCTGATTCATATATAAAGCAGTACACAAGATGCTGTCTAGGATAGAATTTTGTGAGACGTACGACGTTCAATCAAAGACGTACGACCAAGGTAGAAGCAAGTTGTGGTGGGGGGGGGGGCAAAATTGTTCGCCTTCAAAATTTAGTTGGATATATTCATGGAAACTTAAGTAAAATCGTGAAGAATCGATTAACAGCGTTAAGCGAAGAATTTTTTCATTGATTCAGCTTTTCATCCAAACATCTGTTTCCGAAAATATTTGTACATTTGTAACTAAATAAGGGTATAAGAATAAATTAACTTTCATAGAATGAGATCTGAACGTGATGACAACCAGTTAAATCAGTGA